CCCCCCGCCCTCACCGCCACCTCCGTCGCCACCGCCTCCCTCACCGCCGCCGCCGAGCCCGCCTCCCTCGCCGCCTCCTCCCTCGCCGCCTCCCTCGCCACCGCCGCCCTCGCCGCCGCCGTCGCCGCCCCCGCCCTCACCGCCACCTCCGTCGCCACCGCCTCCCTCACCGCCGCCGCCGAGCCCGCCTCCCTCGCCGCCTCCTCCCTCGCCGCCGCCGCCCTCACCACCGCCCTCACCGCCGCCGTCGCCGCCCCCGCCCTCACCGCCACCTCCGTCGCCCCCGCCTCCCTCACCGCCGCCGCCGAGCCCGCCTCCCTCGCCGCCTCCTCCCTCGCCGCCGCCGCCCTCACCACCGCCCTCACCGCCGCCGTCGCCGCCCCCGCCCTCACCGCCACCTCCTTCGCCACCGCCTCCCTCACCGCCGCCGCCGAGCCCGCCTCCCTCGCCGCCTCCTCCCTCGCCGCCTCCCTCGCCACCGCCGCCCTCGCCACCTCCGTCGCCCCCGCCTCCCTCACCGCCGCCTCCGAGCCCGCCTCCCTCGCCGCCGCCACCCTCGCCGCCGCCGCCCTCACCGCCGCCGCCCTCACCCCCACCTCCGTCGCCACCACCCTCGCCGCCACCGCCATCGCCACCGCCGTCACCGCCACCGCCGAGCCCACCCCCGCCCTCGCCGCCGCCACCGTCGCCGCCGCCGCCCTCCCCGCCGCCGTCGCCGCCTCCCCCAAGCTCCCCACCGCCCTCACCCCCACCACCGAGCCCGCCGCCTCCGAGCCCGCCTCCGTCTCCACCACCGCCCTCGCCTCCCCCACCATCCCCGCCGCCTCCCTCGCCACCGCCGCCCTCGCCACCGCCGTCGCCGCCCCCGCCCTCACCGCCACCTCCGTCGCCACCGCCTCCCTCACCGCCGCCGCCGAGCCCGCCTCCCTCGCCGCCTCCTCCCTCGCCGCCGCCGCCCTCACCACCGCCCTCGCCGCCGCCGCCCTCGCCGCCGCCGCCCTCACCACCGCCCTCGCCGCCTCCACCATCTCCGCCGCCGCCTTCGCCACCGCCGCCCTCGCCGCCGCCCTCACCTCCTCCGCCGTCCCCACCGCCACCCTCGCCTCCCTCGCCGCCTGCGTCGCCGAGTCCGCCGTCAGCGCCGCCATCGCCGCCATATCCGCCGTACCCACCGCCCTCACCGCCGCCGCCTTCGCCGCCGCCGCCCTCGCCGCCGCCGCCCTCACCGCCGCCGCCCTCACCCCCACCTCCGTCGCCACCACCCTCGCCGCCGCCGCCATCGCCACCGCCATCACCGCCACCACCAAGCCCACCCCCGCCCTCGCCGCCGCCTCCGTCGCCGCCGCCGCCCTCCCCGCCGCCGTCGCCGCCTCCCCCAAGCCCCCCACCGCCGTCACCCCCACCACCGAGCCCGCCGCCTCCGAGCCCGCCTCCGTCTCCACCACCGCCCTCGCCTCCCCCACCATCCCCGCCGCCTCCCTCGCCACCGCCGCCCTCGCCACCGCCGTCGCCGCCCCCGCCCTCACCGCCACCTCCGTCGCCACCGCCTCCCTCACCGCCGCCGCCGAGCCCGCCTCCCTCGCCGCCTCCTCCCTCGCCGCCGCCGCCCTCACCACCGCCCTCGCCGCCGCCGCCCTCGCCGCCGCCGCCCTCACCACCGCCCTCGCCGCCTCCACCATCTCCGCCGCCGCCTTCGCCACCGCCGCCCTCGCCGCCGACCTCACCTCCTCCGCCGTC